TATCTATCTCCTCTCCCTCCTTCTTCCTCCTTTCCCTTACCCCCCTTTTCCTTACCCTTTTTCTGCCAGCTAAACACCTTGTATATGGCGAAAGTCTTTCTTATATGTATGTATGTATTCTTTACTTGAAGAAGACAATCTGTAGTTTTTTGAAAGTACTTGTACTATTGTTTCATGTAAAATGTAATGCCAGTAGATAGTATTAACATTTTTCTTAAAGTTTTTGGCATCACAAGAAGCAATTTTTGAGCATTTTGTATCATGAAAACTGCAAGACAAAGTTTCTTCTTACTTCTTACATCTAGAGTCAAGAGGCTCAACGAATGTACCCAATTACATTTTCTGTTATGATGTCATCAGTTTGGGTTAGCTCTGAAATACATCACAATTAAGTACATTGCTGCCAAATGTTGAGCACAAGTTACTTACTAGGCTTATTAGAGAAAAACAAAAGATGATTGCTTCTGTGGAGCTCTCTCTTTATCTAGCACATATGTCTTTTGTCAAGGTTTGGGATCCAAGAAACTTGTACATGCAATTAGTCAAGATTTATGCCATAGCAAACAAACATTCATGAGTAATAGAAGAAAAAGCGAATAACAAGCTGCATTGGCTCTTACGTTCTTGCTGCTGCAAAACCAACTTTCCTCATAAGATTAATGTCTGAACAATTATGGTAATCAATGTGCCAGAAAGTGTTCATCATTTTCTGCAATATTCTGCCAGTGAAAATCAACTTAGAACAATTAATTCCTCCAATCATAGCGGCAACCAAAACTTGCCAAAACCTACAGGCCTATTTAGAAATTGCAACCATAGCAGAGGTCTAGTCTGCATCTCATTTTACCAATGCTACACCCACTCAAAGAACCTCACCATTGTTGATTAGCAAAAATTGCAAGCTAGTGCATCAATTTTTTCACAATAAAAACCTGAGGTTACTAATTTCTGACAAAACCAAGAGATTTGCCCTTTGTAAAAATGATGAGTATAATTCTACAGAAACACAGTTTTTGCAGTAATCTGGTTCTATTCTATTAAATACTGACCCCACTCTGTCAATGCTAAGATTGACTTGAAAAGTCATCACATGACCTGCTCTGTTATCCATACTTTCTGGACCACTTCATCCACTAACAAATGTGTCTTGCTCATGGCTCTTCTTTGAGGTAAAAACTCATAATCCTGGATAGCCTCTATGCCCATTAGTCAACAAACATACCCACCCAACATACCATTTGGAGAAAGTCTTGGCTATGTTGCTCACTACAATTGTTCCCAACTCAATTTTGTGATCTCTTCAATGTTACAAGCAAAAACAAGAAACAGATTGGGTTCAATCCCAACGGAAATCTTTCAGTTTTACAAGGTTGATGTAAATTTGCTCTATCCATCTATATCGAATTTTGAGGTTTTAATGCTTGCTAACATCCTTTTGCTAAAAAAAAAAGCTTTCACAGTCCAACAAATACTTGGTATATGGGAGGCTTTGCTTCTGCTTGGTATATGGGAGGCTTTTCACTCAACCCAATTACTTCCAATTTAATAGCCAGTATTTTTTACAAAAGTAAGGTGTCCCCATGTACTCTCTTCTCTCAGCTGTTTTGGCAGAGTTGATTATGAGAAATATAAAGTGTTCTATTCACGAATAATCAAATACCTTGATTACATTGTATGATGATAAGAATCATTTGATTTATAACATTAATTGGGTTTGCTTTTTTATGTAATTTAAATTGATAAATTGCTCAGAATTTAATACAGGTTCAGATAATACTCATATTATTAAGGTCCAATTTACCTAACCCTAGAGCATGGATCTTGATAACCTGAGTTTTTTTCTTATTGGTAACAAAGGGAAAATGAGAAAAATCTTTTTCTCATTTTCCCTTTGTTACCAATGACAAAAAAACAGTATTGGTTCAATTATGTCAATGCTCTTAACACTTGTGACAAACTGAGTAGGATTTTATTCAGAATTCAATTTAATTCACTGAAAATATAGCCACTGACTGACAAAAGCAGAAAAAAGTGTGTCAGTTTTGATGTTTTACATTTTAATAATTTATTTTATTTATCATTTAGTCAATAATGAATAGTTTACTTGATGGCTTTCTCATTTGTTTGGTAGAGTAGAGAATCACACCTAAATGCAAAATTTCCAGCAAAGAAACGCTTAACTTCAATGTTTTAATGTTTTTGTCCACTATTTGGCCCTCTTCAGGAAATGTAAAATGGTAAAACCATTCTATAAATGGAACGTAGCTGTTTTCTAATTTTAAAAGTTTCAAGTAAATTCGAATAAAAGCTGTGACGTTTTGTATATGATGTATATTTTATGAGTCTAAATAGTATTTCCATGCATTTGGTACAAGAATGGCATTCGTGTTTATGCAGGCTCCACTGCTGTCTGCCTTGTAGATCTCTACCACTTGTAATATTTTGCCGGTCAAAGACCTTGTGTAGTAGTGTAGCTTGGTCCCAATAGGGAGAAATCCCTGGATTGCTGGTGTAACATGCCAGATCTGTATTAATGTTCAATTTTGTAGGTCATATTTGTGATCTTTTAGCCTGGCTTGCAGTGATCTGTACGTGGATCCTATATACGATAGTATTCTGTCAAACCTATCATCCTGTAGTGGAATGTGGTAAATCCCAGGAACGTTTGCATCCTCAATGCCGTATTTTGTGTTAGACAGAAGGCAGAAAACATTGGGTTTCCTTTTGTATATTACGAGTATGTTTAAATGTTTTGCAATGCTCCTGTATATGTGAAGGGATGGTTCATAGTTTAGGACCACCTGATTAGCTTCTGTTTTGTTAACATTGTTGTTGGTGTTAGATAACATAGCCAGATGTTTGGACGTTAGATTGGTGATAAATGAGTAGCTGTACCCATGTTTGGACGCAACTTGTTTCAGATGCTCTAGTTCCTTGCTAATAACTGACATCTTCATAGAATGTGAGTAGGCTCTCGCTACCAGTGTGCACAGAACACAGATGCCTTATATGACCATGGGTCAACTGAATTGGCCAGTATGAATAGGGGGACATAAGTAGGTTTGTGGTAAATTGTGGTGTTGAACTTATTATTTGCTACTTAAATCTTGATGTCTAAGAAATTAATGATATTGTAGCTTTCTTGATCCGATATTAGTGTTAATCCATATTTGTTATTATTATTATTAAACACCTTTAACACCTCCCCAATATCCGATCTATTTCTCCATACAATCAAAATATCATCAACATATCTGATGTAAATAGGGATATTATTTTTGATGTTTATTAAGAACCGCTTTTCCAATAGTCGTAAGACCAGTTCACAGAGATCCACTAAAAGGGGGAGTACCCATGGGTACTCCCTTTTGGATGTAGGTGCCCTTTTGTCAAAATAAAAACATGATGAATAGCACAATAAGTGAGTAAGCTCTAATATCTGAGAGTGGTACAATTGAGCATCAGGAGTAGAACTTAGAAAGAAATCTCTTAATGTGAAAAAAACAAGGTTCTAAATGAATAGATGGAAACAAAATTGAACACTGTAAGATATTCATTCCCATTTAAATCAATAGCAGCAAGTTTGAGAGAAGTGCACCTGAATCGGAGATCGTGTATGTATATGATTGAAGGTGGTACTTTAACAGGTGATGGATCCATTGTTCCAATAAGAATGTTGGGGATCTAGCTTTATCAATCACGGAACATAATTGTTGACCAGGTTTGTGCATTTTAGCAAAGATGAACAGGCGTGGGGTGTCGGGGGAGCTGACTACATTCTGTTGCAGGCCTAACAATCACAAATATGATGTACAAAAATGGAAACATTAATACAGCTCAGGCACGTTATGCCAGCGATCTGGGAATTCCCCTGTTGGGACCAAGCTACACTACTACACAAGGTCTTTGACCGGCAAAATATTACAAGTGGTAGAGACCTACAAGGCAGACAGCAGTGGAGCCTGCATCAACACGAATGCCATTCTTGTACCAAGTGCATGGAAATACTATTTAGACTCATAAAATATACATCATATACAAAACGTCACAGCTTTTATTCGAACTTACTTGAAACTTTTAATATTAGAAGGTGTTCCATTTATAGAACGGTTTTTCCATTTTACATTTCGTGAAGAGGGCCGATAAAATAGTGGCCAAAAATGTTCAAACATTGAAGTTAAGTGTTTCTTTGCTGGAAATTTTGCATTTAGGTGTGATTCTCTACTCTGCACATACAATTCCAGTTTTCTGATAAAGTTGTTGTTTATCATTTGTTTGGTATGAATTTAACTATTTTTGATAACTATTAACAAAATATAATTAAAATGTGATAAGAAATAATTTTATTTATATGCAGATTATTTAAAATTAAAGAAAAAATTAGACATGTTGAAAAGGATATTTTTAAAGGATTGATTCTAATGTAGTTTGCATTTCGTTTTATGAATAGCTTAAGAATTTATCATTGAACTTTAATCTCATTTCAAAATCATTATATTTTGTCATAAATGTAACAAACAAGATATTATCCTATCATGTTGAATTTTTGTGTATTTCTTTCATTTACAAGCAATTTTAAATAAATACTGTTTTTATACATAGTATTTTTTAATTAAATTTTTAACAAAAAAATTTGAATATAAACTTTGTAAAATTAAAAAAATATATATTATAATGTTAAACAATAAAAACTTAAAAAAAGTAAAATTAGTTTGTTAATTATAATTTTTTTTATTATAAAAGAATGAAATTTTAAACAAACTTGTTTAAATTTTTCATCTAAAAGTACTTTTTAGAATTAGAAATGAACAAATTGTATTTTTCATTTGTGTTGAGGACAGTGTAATAAATAATTTAAGATAAAATTTTATGAGCATAAATATGAATAGTAGTAGTAAATTTTATGTATCTCTCTAATTTTTTATAAACGTTTCTTAAATTAAATTTTTTTAAAAATTAGTCAATATTTTAAAAAAATTTTTTCTGTAATTTGAATTTATTATCATTATTTTGTTTTTTACAGGAGAGCTCATACTTTAACTGTGTTATTTTTGATGTCATGTGCTTTAGTTTATGTTGCTATTTTTGAACAAGTTAAACAAGATCCAGAATACAATACAAAAAGGTTTGATTTTGTTTGTCTTGATTAATTTGTTTTCTGTGTCATTAAATGCATGTTAAAATATAAATTATTTTTCAGAAATAAATTTTTGTTTTTACTAATTACAGAAAATTACTACATTACAGTTATATTAAATATTATTTACCAATCCTTTTTATTGTTTCAAATACTTACATTGACAATTTTTAAATTACTATATAAGGAAATCATAATAAAAATCTGAACCAAAGTTTGAAATGCTATAGTGTTATATATCTATCATATTTAGATAAAACAATTTGAAAATTGATAAGTGAACATGCATTTGCATAAGAAATTTTATGTTCATGACATACGAATTCAATGATAACTCATGTTGAAAATTGATAGCTTGGTCTTATAAAACTAATAATTTCACTACTAAACCATATTTTCAATGTTGTGAAACATTTTGGAATATGTCATCAAACTGTTTATTAGGTAGTAAAAGACTGAAGAGTGACTGAACAATGAGTATAACTCCGGGATCCTGTAGAATCACCAAAACAATGTTTGCAAAAAATTACATGTTTTTATGAAAACAGCCACCACATGGATGAAATTGAGCATAAAACTTGCTCAGAAGTATGAAATTTTTTATTATCCACTAACTGGCTAATAATTATAATAGTTAAACACTTAAATCACCTTTAAATTTCAACAAGAAACTTTTAATTTAACTACAAGGATGTTGAATCTGTATCAAATGCCTGGAAATTAATATTAGAGGTTTAGCAGAACAAATTTATCTAAATAAAATACTGCAATAACTGGATGTTCACTGTATAATTGAGTCAAAAATACCTTAATCTAGTAAGTAAAACACCAATTTATTAAACTGAACAAACATTTTCAACTTTGTTTAAAAGGTCATTCTTACGTTAGAACAAAAATAGTATAGTTTAAAAGATTGAACAGTTTAAACCAGGGGTGTCCAACCTTTTTGTTTCTCTGCCCACATTGGAAGAAGTCATGGAGTTTTAAGCCTCAAGTATATTATATATACTTGTGACTCAATCCTTAAATATACAAGTATATTTAAGTATTAACATGTCTAGATTATAGTAATAAGTATTAAAACTTCATCACGAAAAAGGATATTGTAAAAAATTACTTCTACAGATACTTTCAATTTTTACTAGAAATAGATAAATTCATTTATTATAAAGGAAACAAACAAAAATTTATTTGAAAAATGCAAATACAGTAGAACATCAATTATCTGAATATCGATCAACCAAAACGTCAATTAACCGAAAGCTTTCTAGTTGGCAAATTTAAGTTTCTGCTAGTGCTGTGGCACTGCAATCTTTGGCTATGTCTTGGGCTACTCCAATATTATTTTTGTTGGTGTTTGTGTTTTAGCTGGCAGCACTGGTGCAGTCATGAGAGGGTACTTAAAGACATGCCAGGATTTGAATGAATTTCAACATGGGATAGGTTAATACAGGTAACTCCCGTATAACATGGGAGTTACGTTCTAAAAAATTGCCATGTTATACGAAACAAAGAACTAGTGCGAAAAGGGGGGTTAGGTTCCAAAAATTAAAAAACATGCTGTTAAATCCTTATTTAAATCTGATTTATTATTCATTTTTTTCATAGGTAAAATACTTATTTATTATTTAAGTAAATATTTTACCAGAGGATTATTCATCCTATATGATGATCTCAGCTTGAGCATCATCAACTTGTAACAGTTTTTGGGTGCATTCGTTAATAGCAGTTGCTCTGCAACGGGAGTGCGCTGCTGTTTGTAGGCATTTAGGAATGACAGTGGAAGAAAGATGGTGGCGCCTGCACTATTGATAGTATCGTGATGGAGGAATTTATAATTCTAAAATGAGCTTTTAGAGGCAAAAGAAGGGTCCCAATTGTAAAATTTAACCATTAAATGGATTATTGTTGAAAGAGCATTCAAAGTAGCCACGAAAACAATTAGAATGCTCGTGCGGAGTTACGCGGAAGTATAAAAGAATGCACCCTATGTTACATTTCATGTTCTACAAGGGTTTTACCTAATTTCCGAACCATGTTAGAGTGAGCCCGTGCTATAAAACCACCATGTTATACGGGGGATGTTCCCAATTCTCAAACCGTGTTAGAGTGAATCCGTGCTATAGAAGTGCCGTGTTATACGTGGGTTACCTGTATATTTTTTCATACATAATTGGTTATCCGAAAAATCGATTTTCCGAACAACCCCAGTCTCCAATTGATTTGGATAATCAATGCTCTACTATATTTGTTTTATTTGAGTCTTTAATTAATAAAAAATGACTAAACACCATTTTAATGTGCATTTTTATTCAACTAATATATTTATAAATAATATGTAGCCCAAAAAGTAGCCTATGCACCAAATGATATTTTTTATACTAAACTAAAAAACTGGTAGCCAAATTTGGGGCAAAGTAACCAAATCTTGCAATGCTGGAAGGAATACTAAATGAAACTGGAGTTGGGACTCAAAGGATTATCTTCCTCATTCACACATTTCCAAGTATTTTAAAATATTTTTTTTCCACTCAAAAATAAAATATGTATAAAGGTTTACGGCTTTGTGAAACTTCTTTTTGAGTTTATGCTATTGGAATAAAATAAAAAAATAAAAAAAATAAAAAATTTGTCAGTTTTGTTTACACATTTATTGACCTTGGGTCACGGGACTTGGCTTGGGTTGTGGGTTGGACACCCCTGGTTTAAACCATATGAAATGTCACATATGCAAAGTAAAACAAAAAGTAGTTAACAGTTTATCATAATAAGGAAATAAAACTAAAAAATAAAAGATGCTAAAACGAATACAAAAAGTAAATAAGATAAAAATTATAAATTACTATCTTGTTTTTCTAAATTTTTGTAATTTCTGAATTCTTCAGTGTCATAAGTTATGTTTTCTTCCAGTCCATGCTACTTCTGGAGTTTACCCACAACAGCTTAAATATCAATCTATTTCTATGGTTTGCAGCTGTGGTTTCTGTTCATAATGTTTTGGGAGTCTTGTGCATTTAGCTATTGTCCTTTCTGTCTTGACAAGAATTCAGTTAAATCTTTCTGCAAGTCCATTTTGTTGAGAAGTATCAGGAACAGCTTGATTCCTTAATCAGAATGTAATGTTTTAACTTATGACAGGTATATTCAGCATTATTTTTTGTTTTGAGTCTATTTTTTCCCTCCTACTTGTCTGTCAATTATAGTTAAGAATTCTTTAAATGTGTTGACAGCATCAGTTTTATTTTGCAAGAAGTATGCAACTATTTTTTGTGTGGTGCCATCAATGAATGTGATGCAATACTTTGCACCTGAATATGAAGCATTATAATTGAAGCACAAATATTTGAACACATTAGTTTAAGTGAGCAGATTGGCTTTTTTTTTAATCTGAAATGATTCTTGGTGTTTTTCAAGTGATGATCAAATTGTTAATGTGTCTATTGATTTCGTTTCAGAAAATACCTATTACGAGGTTGTGTGTAACTAATTCGAATAAAGCGTTATAGTGAAATGACTTATTCTGTGATGCTAAAGTTCATCTTCATTTTGACATAACACTCTTAAACAGCTTCTTATATTTTTCTGATTGTTTACTATGTATAATCCTTGATGTTGATTTATCTTTAGATAAAAATAATAATAATTTTATCATTAAAACACCTTTTATTGTTCATTTTTTGTAGTTATTCCTCTTGCATTTACTTGAATAATTGAGGTCAAATTACCCTGAAGTTGAGGTACAAACAGGATGTTATTTAAACATGTACTTTTTCTATTGTATGAAATCAAATGATGCTCTTTCCATGTGCTGAAGTTATTTTATTATCAGCCAATTTTAATTTTTTTTTGTGTTTTTATGTCAATAAAATATTTTTTTTTTTCTGATGTCGTATGTGCTGTTGTCCTACTGTCTAACTGTACATTTTCATGGTGTTTCTTTTTGTAATGAATGACTTTTAACTATTTTTATTTATAATGGAGTCACAGATTCAAATAGTTGAAACTTTCTGGAAGTCCATATAACATGGTTTGGGCACTATTTTTGTCAGTAATGGCTACCACAGCCTATTCAAGCTGTTCAGCAATTGAAATTAAGAAATTCTTCCATGGTTTGTTGAGTTGAGGAATCCAAAAATGTAATGAGGGTCTATTTAAATGTAAAAAATAGGAGTCTGTGACTTTGTTTTCGATATACAGAGGTATAAAAGTGATAATTAGTGATGTAACGAAAATTCGATTACTATTTGGTATTCAGCCTATTTGGCCTATTTTTTGCTATTCGGCTGAATACCGAATATTTAAATCACTATTCGGCTGAATATTGAATATTTAATCACTATTCGGCCAAATACTGAATACCTAAAAACAGGAGTAAGAAATAACAAAAACACAGTAAATTAATCATTTTGGTATTTAGATTTAATGTTATCAAGTTAGTGTTGTTTGTTTATATTTATTTATAACTTATAACATACACAAAATAAAAAAGAAAATAATATTAGTCACATGTATTTGTGAGGGCCCGGATTTAAGATTCGAATATTTTTATTCATTAGATTAAAAGTTAGGGTTAACACAAAAAGGAAAAAACAACCGACAAATTTTCTCATAAAAATCGCTCATAAAAACTCCGTTCCCACGACAATACTTCCCTGTAGAAGATGAGTTAACTGTTGTGTCATAAGTTNATTTTCATATGTGCATTAATTAATCAAGCCGAATAGTTTTGCTGATATTCAGCTATTTGGCCACACTCCTGGCTGAATATTCAGTATTCGGTCTGAGGCCGAATATACTATTCATTGCAACACTAGTGATGATGTCCATGCTCTCTGATGCGACTGAGCATGCCTAATGGATTTAGGTCTAGCAGTCAAAAATAAAAACAGCATTGTGTGTCTCTAATGGAAAATGACACAAAAAATGAAGAATGCACAAGAACCAAGCAATTGATAGTGATTGCTTTGTTCTTGGATTGCCTTTCCATG